CCTATTATTATTATTTTTTTATCCTCAATAAAACCTAAATTTTATAATTTTTTATTATCTAAAAATCAGGATGTCACCCCTTTCATAAATCATATCCATCGCATCATTAATCATAACACATCACATTTTATACAAATCGCCTGTATATCTCAAACTCACACCATACTCATGACATTATTACCTTTCATATTTCTTTACATTACTTTATAAACATACTCTATTCAACATTATTCACATACCAACACAAGCCAATCCACTTTTATCTAAATTACATAAATCACGTACCTTATGTCACACTTGCACTGTATTCATTTTCAAAAGCTTATTAATGTTCTTAAAAACAATTTACAAACAATTATAAACAATTAAACAAGCAAAGCATAAACTATAATTTTCTCGACTATCTTAAATCTTTTAGAAGTTAAAGATTTATCTCTTAATTACTACTACTTCCAAAGCTCACATGAGCTTGAGTGGTGCCAAAAATGATCAATTTGCAGTTAATTAGATAATCAATACCACCATTAATGAATTTACAACCTTTTTTACTCAATACTTTAAATCTCTCACAATTTCAATCTCTTGCATATGAGCCTACTGGTTAGGTTTATTAACTTTCTTGAGTTCACATTAGCTTTATTAAGCTCTTACATTAATGGCACTTAAACACTCTCAACAACCCTATTTATGGCTATATTTGGCTATTAATAGCCTTCCAACAACCAAAACCTCAAAATCATAACTATTAAATTTAAATAACCTAAACAACTCACATTGACTCTATTTAAGTCAATGAGTTTAGACTCATCACTTTCACGACTGAAAACCTAACTCAAAAACTTAAGAAAATCAAAAAAGAAGGAAAGGAGGAAGCCTAAGAAACTTACCTTAGGTGTCAGCAAGCTTCAAAATACTCTTAAACCTTTAAATCCCCTTGCCTTAGCAAAGCTATTGAGTTCCTCTTTATTCTTTCTTTGTTTCTCTTATGTTTTTCAACTAGATTCATGACCTCTTAAGTTAGATTTTTGACCATGTATTGTAACATGTGGTATAAAAAGCTCTTCTCATGTTCTTTTGTCTATTGTGGCACAGTGTATGATGCACACACCAAGGCATCTAGCACAAACTCGCACTTATTTGTTTTTCTTCCCTTTTGAGGTCCAAGTAATCTAACTCTACTTTGGACCCAATCTTGAAGTAGCAAAATCACAACTCAATCAGTTCATTGGTGCTCTCTATTCATCCACACACCATTTATTCCATTAATTCATTTAATTGCTCTCATCTAACTTAATTAATCAGGGATTAATTTTCAGGATATTACACAGAATCCTAAATACTCCTAAACCTATAGTTCATGGGCTAATTTATTCTTTTATCCTATATTATTTTATATGGGCTACGTAATTTCTTCAATTTTTGTACATCTAGGTAGGGAGTTTGAAAAAGGAGTAATCTCATGGATTAAGAATGGAGTGGAAACTTAGTTTTTAAATTCAATATGCGAAGTTACTTTCAAACAAGGTCAATTAAATGTAACATTACGATCATATGGATACATAGTTGGAATAAATCAACAATTTTTCTATTGAACTTTATGTGAATGTTATTATTTTCTTTTTGCTTATATAGTGCACTTGGATTGGATGAAGGAGAGCCTTATACATTTGTGAATATTGTGCAGCATTAATGTGGTTTAACGAGTCAAATCAAGCCACAAAAATCAGGTGCGTGCACTTCGCCCCATTCTTATACCAAAATAAAAAACCTGATTCAAAAGAATTTTACAAGGAAAAAAATATATATATATTTTATATAAAATTTATCAAAATATTAGGTAATAAGAAAATTAATATTAAGTTATTGAAGATTTGGTTTCTATTTAAATAAAAAATCAATGTTTTCAAGCTTTGCTAACTTCAAAATATAGCATTCCAAGAACCTAGTTGATTGTGAAGTGTATCATCGCACGTGCCTGAATTATGTTAAATTATTAAAATCACTTTTTTTAATCTACTCCTAGAATTTATCAAGTTATTCATATTATCCTTAAATGATTGATTGTTCCTGTGCATCGGCACGGGTACAAATCTAGTTTGTTATAAAGGACTATAAAAGTTAAAATTAGAATGAAGGACAAGGTGAGGAAAATTTACTATTATAATCTTCATTATAACATCTGTCAGCCCGCATGCCTTTTCTCTGACCCATTTTCTTGCGTCTTCACTTAATTAAAACCCTGTCTCCCTAAATACATGTAAATTTTTTCCTTGTTTACATAGTTTAGGTTCTTACTAGTTCAATTAATCAATCATCATACGTTCTCCTAAGCAGTCTCGAATAAAAGAAACATGGTATAAATTGTTCAACACTCTAAACGTCTATTATATCACAATCGATTATGAGTGTTGCCAAGTATTTCAATTGGTAGAAAGGACGATAACATGGTGGGTGAGGAAGAAATAGAGTATGGACACTGTCATGGAGTTTTAGAGATTGAAGGATATGTGTTGTTACCTTGTCAAGTTTTGTGAGAAGCGTGAAGAATTTTTACATCCGATTCTCTTTGTAGAATACGGAATGCAGGAATGCAAATTGACCAGTAACCATTGAATACGCGGGAGATATAATCAGGAAAGACGGAGGATTTTAATTAAGGGCAATCTAATATTTTTAAATTCATATTTTAATATTTGGTTCTTCTAAATAATTATAATTTTTAAGATCTTTTTTTAACAAATATCATTTCCACTAGGTCCTTTGTAATATTTTTCCCTTGTAACTCTTCTACACTGTTTTTTGGTTTAATTATCTCTGGCCCGGATTTTTTTTTTTAAAAAAAGGAGTCCGATCAAAAGACCTCGTGTTCTTTACTGTTTTAGCCCGGAGAAAATATTACATGGCAACTATAAATTGCCATAAACTTTAACATTATCGATAAACTTCTATATTGCACGTTCAAGAAGTTATTTCAATAACGCTAGACTAAACAATTAGGGGCAATTTTCAAAGAGACGCATTGGATAAAATGCTCATGACTTAAACTTGTGAATGAGTTCTAGCAACAAAAACACACTACAGGAAAATAAATCAAAAGCAAAATCAGCAGGTTTACTTCAAGCAGTCCAAAAAAAAAAAAGAATCTACATTAAATAAGTTGTATGTAAATATATAAATTAGATAATATATACATGAAAAAATATAACTTTAAATCTCTGTATTTTGCTCGAATTTTACTATAAATTCCTTCACATTTTTTTTATATTCTAGGTCTCTACACTTTATTCTTTTAGTATTCTAGGTCCTTTCATAAATGGTGTTATAAGTATTTATAATATCAAAAAATAAAAGTGTGAAGACCTATAATAAAACTTAAATAAAGTACATAAACCTAAAATTAGATAATATTTATGTGGAAAAATATAATTTTGGATCCTTACATTTTGCTCGAATTTTGCTACAAATACTTACATTTTTTTTTATATTCTAAGTCTCTATACTTTATTTTTTAGTGTCCTGGGTCCTTCCATAAATGGTATAATAAGTACCTATAATACTGAAAAATAAAAGTATAAGAACCTATAACAAAACGCAAGTAAAATATATGAACTCAAAGTTATATTTTTCCTATATACATTAATAATTTCTATGCAATTAGTCTTATATTTTATTTTGTTACAATACATAACTTTCTTTCTCCAAAATACTTCTATATAGGAGAAAATTAATCATTCAATCTATGTAATTTTGACCTACTTATAATTTAGCTTTTAAATTTTGATTCAATGTCACTTAGTTTTTATAATTTTGACTCACTTTAAGCTTTTAACTCAATTTTCATAGTTTTAACTTTTAACTATTTAAAATATTAATCTTTATATTTTAAAAATAAAACTACAAAAATTAAAATTATGTTGACATTTAGCAATTAATTTTAAATTACCAAAATTTTTAATTTGATAAATATTATAAATATTTGATCCTTCTAAATTTATTTTTTAAAAAATATAAATTAATATTTTAGATGATTAAAAATTAGAGTTGGGAATAAAAGCTGAATTTGAATGACTTATTTAAATAAAGGTTCGAATTTTGGAAATTATAATTTTTTAAAATAACCGAGTTTTAGGGTTTAATTTTAATAAGTTTTGTAAAAAGAAGCTCAAACTCGAGCGGTCCTTCAAACTCTATTATTTTATTATCAATTTTTTTTTGTAGAATGTTGCATTTGAAAAAGGAACCCTACTGAACTTTACGTTTACTCGACTTCCTAAAGATTAAAGAACTCAAATTAAGCTATCACCTCTTGATTTTTCTTGCCCCTCTCTCCCTCATACCCTTAGCTAGTCAACCACTCAACCTCACACCTCTCATTCCTTATTTCTAACTTATGGCTCATGCCCTACCCATGAGTAATTTGATTGATAATAACACATTTTGATTACTATTTATTGCTGGTGATGGAGAAGAAGTTGTAGAGATAATTGTTACTAAACCTTCACATCCATATTCAACAAGTGGATCTATATATGAGTAATTTAATGTTATATTTTTAAATGATGAGAAAAAAGATTTATATTTACATTAATAAAAGTTTTAATTTTTATTTTAAATTTAAACTTTTAATTTTTTATTAAATTTTATGTGAGACTTTGATTTATTTTATGTTAAATTTTAAAATATTATATTTAAATTAAAATATTAATTTTTTTTGAAAAAGAAGATTTATGAACCTAACTCTAAACTCTTTAGGTAAGGACCTAATCTTAAAATTAAATCAAATCTTAAATAATTAAGTTTTAAAGTCCAAGCCTTTAAGGGCCGCATTTGCTCGAATTCTCATCCTTATTAAAAATAGAAGTACTTGAGTTTCGGAGAGTTACAGCCAAATGAAACTTGAAAGCTGAGTTGTAATAAATTAAAATTTAAAAATTAAATCACAATTAAGTAAAAATTACATGATCTCCATCTATATTTTACGAAGCATGGAACCGCCGAAAAAACGGAAGAGGAAGAAATCAAGAAATTCAGAAATTGTGAGTGAGTCTCTCCTCCGCCTGACACACCCCGTGACTGTGAGGGCGGGGATCGCGGTCCTCGCTTTTTATTCGGGAGAGGCAAGCGAATAACGAAGGAAGGAAGCATCGCGACTCACATATACTACTGTGCCTTATTTTGCCTTCTCTTAGCATGGGGGAGCAAAACCGTCCCGAGCATGATATAGGGCTCGAAGGCGAGAAAGGCGCTGACATGGAGAAGCGCTGCAATTTCTGGCTCCCTAGGAAAAGCAGATTCTGTGCAAACTCGCGCCTCAAAGATTCCTTGTAAGTTCGATCCCTGTCTTTTTGTTTTCCGTTTCTGGAACTTCATTCGGCGCTTCTCAAATCTTTATGCATTCATACTGAGTTAGATTCTGCGGCAATCACAACTCAAGGTCCGAAGGCCAGTGGATCCCGTGTCCCATAGATCCTTCCCAGTAAGATATCTACAACATCTGCCGTATAACGTGCTGTAACAAACATCTGCCATCTCTGTAGTTCTGCTTTTGTATCCCTATATCTGATTGTTGCTGCCTTGCTCCTTTCCTCATTTAATAGCTCAGTACTTAAGCAAAACGTGGAAGGACATGTTAAGCGATGCCCGATACTGAAACAAGTTCAATCGCTGTCTCTCCAACCTTTTTATCGAAAGGGCATTAATGCTGGCAATGAAGATGAAGAAACGTTAAGAGTTCGTGATTCAATATTGCCGAAGACCGTCACGATGCCTCTGGATAACATTTCTTCGGAAATGAAGAGAGATGTTGTTCATAATATTAGTGTTCTTGAATTCTCAAATTTAATTGGAAAGATCGAATCTGTTTATGAATCGTTCTCCAAGGATATTCAAGACTCGTATCAGATTTCAGAGGTTTGCAGTCGATGGATTAAATGTGCAGGAGAGGAGAGGTAGTTATTGGCGGCGTAAAGAATTTAGTTTTATGGAGCTGGTTCGACTTCCAACCTGGTTTCTTTGCAGGAAATTGCCATTTCAAGAGAAACATGTAATGCAACAGGCATCTATTCTGGGAAACCTGGAAATTTTTGGTGTGCTAAGGAGTTCTCTAGGAAGGAAACCATCCGAGTGCAAGGAGGAGGAGGAGGAGGAGGATGGTGTCCCAGCGGTGATTGAGTTTGGAGCCGGCAGAGGATACTTGACGCAAATGCTTGCAGATTGTTATGGAATTAAAAAAGTTTTCCTAGTTGAGAGAAAGTCTTATAAACTAAAGGTTAGCCTTGAAAGTGCTTTAACTGAGTTGTAGGACATGATAGCTAAATTTGAAGAGTTTCCCGAGTGTCTGGTTTCATAAAGATTCTATTTATTTATTTATTTTGTCGAGCATAGCAATTTTAATTTATTTGCTGTTTATATCACGCCACTATTATTTCTAGGCTGATCGATCCTTGCGACAGAATGAGGGCTTGATGTTAGAGCGTTTCAGAATTGACAGTAAGGGTTATTGGAAACGTTGTTGTAGAAGATATGCTGTAATTGTGCTTGTAGTGTTATGCTGCATATTGAGATAACTCTTTCTTTTAGGAGGAGATTTGGTTGTTTAACTGCGGAATTTATATATGTGGTTGCTATTTGAAATATTCAATATTTAGCTTTGCATTTTAGTTCTGCTTCGTTGTGTCAATTTTAATCCAAACAAGGCCACATTTTTTAAAAGCTTTCCCTTGGAGGTGAAAAGAAATGAAGCGCATGATTTAGCATATGCGGTCCTGTGTGCAACTGGTTTTTACTGTTATATGCATGTATTAACTGATGACTGATGCGTTCTGTCAAGACTTTCCTTTTTTGCTCATTTATTCCTTTTCACATTTAGGCACTTTTGACTTCGAACTATAAAGTATCTCCCTGCCCTTTTGATGTAGCTTTTGGTAGTACTATGTTTCTTTTAGTAGTTATGAGGACAGTATTGGATTTGGAGCTGGAGAGAAGGGATTGGGGTAGTTATGGACATATCACAAGGTAGTTTGTCGTGGTTGCTTTGGTTGTAGGAGAAAAATCATGAGGGAGTTAGTTTCCTACTACGTAGGCATGGACCTCTCTCTTGCACCTTTTAATGTTCTCCTGCTTCACTTCACAAAGCACAGTTTCCTAAGTCTTGTTGATATGTCTGCTCTATTTAGTCCTAGCTGTATTTAGACTAAGCTAAAGCTCCACTTGGATTTGGCTCACCTCAAAGTGGGAAAAAAAAAATCACAATTCATGTATGCCTTGAATTGTTTAGCTGTTCTGCGCCGATTTCCAAAATTTTAGTATGTTTCAGAGTGTGTTGAATCTAGCAAGATTTCTAATGCCTGATATGATTCTTTTATTCACATTTCTTGTCATATCTTTTTTCCTTGAAATTCGTATCATTGCCTAATTTATTTGTAGGTTAGGATGCTACTATCTGTATTATATTTGCTTAAACTGCAGACTTTGAAATCTTGCAACATTGTAAAAACCAACTTTTGCAGTTGAAGATTTAGATTTAAATGCTGTTGAGTCTTTGGAAGGAGTTCCTTTTCTGGCGATTGGTAAACATCTATGCGGGGCTGCAACAGGTTATGTTTTGCTATTTAGACAAATGTTCTAATGAATTCATGGCAAATGCTTTATTGAGGCAAAGATCTATCATATAAATGCTGGCACGTTAGTCTTTGTCTTTATTTTTACAGACTTGGCTTTGAGATGTTGCTTTCCCGAAAAAAATGACCAGTGTGATGCTAACAAGAACTTCGGAGGCTTGGCCATCGCAACATGTTGCCATCATCTTTGCCAGTGGAAACACTATACAAGTAACTTCCTGATCCTCCACTCCTTACGAGTATCACAGCTATAGCGTCTATAGTTCTTGATATCTTTCCCCGCTCTTGGGATGTGAGGTCATATTAAAGGCGGGAGCCTTCTGTTTTCATTACTCTGCAGATAAGAAATATTTTTTGGACTTGGGGATAACAAAGGATCAATTCCATGCCATCACATGGTTTACCAGCTGGGCTGTAGATGCTAATCATGGTTCAGAAATTTCAGATATTACTGATTGTGCTTCAAATTTACTGTCAATGTAATTTCTTCAATTTTGTAGTCATTATCTTGAATATCCTACTCTTTGGTACTAGTGTAATTTTTTTTTTTTGGGGGGGTTACTGGTGTCTTTCTGATTCCAAGTTTTGTGCAGTGACAGAGAAAATGGTGACCAGCACGCAAGCGGAGTTGAAAAAATTCTTACCGACATGAAACCATCTGAAAGGGCAGCGCTGGGTTTTAAATGCAAGCGGATGATTGACATGGGGAGGTTGTTGTGGCTAAGGAAACGAGGCTTGGATACGCAGCTTGTCAGATATGTTCCCTCAACCATTTCTCCCGAGAATTATTTGCTAATTGCCAAGCCTCATAGTCGTATGTGATGTGTGTGTGTGGGTGTGTTAAATTTAAATTTTGGTAAGGACTCACCCCCTTTTTTTCTTTCACCATTTTGTTGGGCTGAGATTGAGACGTTTTCTGTGCTTTTCTTCGTTTCCCTTGTATGCTGAAGTTATACCAACGATTGAGGATGCCGAGCTTGAATGATATTGCAACTCTTGAATCATTGTTTTTTCTGGTTGAAGTTTTCTTCCTTCAAAGATGGCATCTACTCGTCATTATGCTGTGTATGTTGTTAGAAAATCGCCCTAAAAGTTAATATCAAATATAATATTTATTTACTATACTTGTAATAAAATGTGTCTTTTATAATATTGGAAAAATTACTATCGAGTCCCACAAAAGCTTTCTAATTCCTCAGAACCCATGAAATGAAGAAATTAGTTGAAGTCAATTTTGGGGTAAATAAGTTCTGTTGCTTGATTACTAGATTACCCTCTAAATTACCCTCTTCCATTTTCGAAACACATTCTCTCTCCACTTTGTTTCCGTCAAAAACAATGTTCTCCGTGCTTCTAGTCTTCGACGAATGATGTCTCAGGAGATCAGACGATGGAATGAGTGTGTGCTGGTCCGGATAGGCTTGGAAGGCGACGCTATGGAGGGGAATTTTAAAAAGGAATGGCTTGGTTGATAATTGATTGTGTCAGACTACTCCTCTTGGCTTTGCTTTAATCGAATATGAGATTGGAAGAGAAGTGCTCCTTGAGTCTTTGACTCATGAACTCATATTTGCTTTGTACTTGCTGAACCAAGGAACCCAAAGATTTTTATTTGAATCTCCAATGATCAACAATGTGAATATCCGAGCCTTTTTCATTTGGGTTTGGGGCAGATAAAACCACATGCATAAACTCTTGGAATTGCTCAGAAAGATAAATCTGGGCAACGAGAATAAACCATCTTCATCTTCATGGCGTTTGTGTCCTCTATCCATGCTATAATCTTTACCCTACTTGGCGGTTCAATTCCCTAAGAAACTTGAAGAAAATGATTTAAAGGGCAATCTAATAATTAGGCAACTAAACTTATTTACCCTAAAATCTTGGGGCTTTAAATTAACTTGAGTTAGAGGGCAAGAATGTTTTAAAATTTTTTTTCTAAAGGTATCTATTGTCCTAAAAAGCGAGCGATTTTGTCTTGCCGTTAGGGTGGATTGTTTGTTATCAATTTATTTGATTTTATTTGCCATGTGGTAGGTGCCTGACATTTTTTAAAATGAAAAAAAAGAGAGAAAAGAAATAGGTGGTGCCTCTTTCTGACTTCTTCTCTCTCTTTCTTCTTCTTTCTCCCTCTCCCTCTACCTCTCTCTATTTGCTTCATCTTCACCCAGCAACAACCATATAGACCAGATGAAACAATCGTAATGGCCAAAACGAGAACATCATAATCTTTCATTTGCTGCTTCTCCATCGTTCATCCAGAATACAATGGCTTTAAAAAATCAACAAATCAAGCATTCAAATACCACCCAAGAATCATCAATTATATATGAGAACCAGATTGATCGAGACCCAAATTATTAACCAATTAATAATTTTTTGGAGATTTTAGCTAGTAAACCAATTAATTAATTATTCAGCTGTCAAAACACAAAGAACATGCGAAAAGATTGGACCAAAATAACTCGATTAATTAAAACAAAATGAAAGAGATCAATAATGGGAGTGAGAGTTTGGGCATGATCACTCGCCGGTTTCATCTCTGGAACACGGGAACCAAAACGAAGAATGGAGAAGAAGCGACGAACATGGGCATGCTTACTCGTCAATTTTACAGTCGCGGACAAGACTCAAGAAGAAGCAATGAACCCGAACGGAGAAAGCCCTCGTCTTCGACCTAACACAAGACCCACCAAGACTCGAAATCGGCCCGAAAAATGCATCTTTGTCAAATGGGTTCAATCTGAGGAGTTTGTTCGAGATTGGATTTCACCAGGGGCTAAGAATTTGATCTCTAATCTTCTAGTCACTGACCCAAAAAAGAGATATTTGATTTCCGTAACTTCCTGATATTTAGATAATAAAAAAATTATAAAACCTAGATTTTATTAAAAATTTAAAAAAGATCAAAATTCATATTATTTGAAAGTTTAAATTAAGGAATGAATTTATATTTGAGGTTATTTGAATTAATAACATGGTTTTAGGCATTTTATTATGAATTAAAGTTGGCTTAATATATTTATTAGATTAAGTTAAGAGATATTTATTAGATTAAATTAGGATATAATTTAAAAATAAAAAATAATACAATATAATAGGAAATAAAATAAATGAAATGTGCAAAAAAAAACAAAACACAACAAGAAAAAAGAAAGAAAAAGAAATACTGAGAGGTAAAAATAGAATAAATAAATAAATAATTTAAGGGGGACCATGGCTGAAGGAACAAAACGAGAAAGTAAATAAAAAAAAAATGGACGGCTGAAAAACAGATAGTGGAACCCACATGATTATTAAATATCCACACCTTTATTTGCATTTGCAGCGTGCTCTCTTCTCTTCACGCCGTGCCGTCCGCCATTTTCAAGTGAGGTTGAGCTTTTTCATTTTATTTAGGTACACAAAATGACTCTCATTTTTGAAATTTTTTTTATAAATATTTTTTACTCATCAATAAGTATCTAACAGTAATATTATTTTAAAGAATAGAGTAAATTTTTTTATTAAAATTTTTTTATAGGATAGTTAATATGAAGTTATAATAATTTAAAAATGAATATTGAGGTTATTGTGGGTGTAATAAATGCTATAAAACATTTTTTTAAAGTTGAAATTTAAATTTAAGAATTTTTAAGTTAAACAATAAACTTATATGGTTGAGTTTATATTTAATCTAAAATGTTGTGATGAATTTCTAATTATTAAATATTTATTTGAGTATAAATAGATATTTCTAAGGATGTGAAATGGTGGTTTGAAGCTTGAAGATAATTTTTAAATTTTTAAATTATTTTTGGATGAATTTTTGAAATATGGATTAATGAAATTATGATATTAGGAGTGATTTAAGGTTTAAATATATTTTATTAGACTATAAGAATTTTAGAAAGGAATTTTAAAAAGTTAAATGAGGCTCTAACTTTAAATTAGTGTCAATATGGATCTTAAGCCTAAAATTTTTTAACTCTTTAAATTAAAATTATTTATTAATTTTGATGTGAAATTAATATATCGTATTATGAAATAATTGTGTAAATATATTGATAAAGAGAATGGTGAAAGAGGAGTTGTGAAGATAAATTTATTGTCCAAGACACAAGATGACCATTATTAATGTGTTGTGATGAGGGTGTGTGCGTGCGTGCGTGATTGACTATGTGTTGTTTGTTGTTTGATAAATTAAAATTTGTTTGGAAATAAATACTTGTATATGTTTAGAATTATTGCCAAATAAGTTAAAAATTTATATATATGTATTGTAATGAGAAAGATATTATTGTTCGATTGTTTAAATTATGCATGACTTGTTAGGATATTTTAACATATGGTGGTGTTGAAAATTTCTATCTGGTTAATTATTACGACATGATAAGCCTTTATCGAACCAAATGAGTGGCATGTAACTTGGGTTAACTTACCTTTGATTGGGTGTTTTGGCCTTCAAGCATGGCATGATGAGGGACATAAGATGTGGTTATGCAAATAATTATTGATTCAGTTTGTTTGAAGGTATTTGTTAGGTTGAATATTTCAGTGTGCTCACTTAGCGATCACATGATTAGTTGCATCTACATACATCATTACATATTAATTTTTAGTTACTAAAACTTTTAAATTTTGTTTCCTGTTATTAATATTTTTACAGGAGCAAGCTCGACTAAGGAAGCATTAAAGGTGTAAAATTTGGTGTATGAAACACCACTTTCTTATCAGCTTACTTTGGTTTATACAATGTATATTGTACCAATTTAAGACATGTATTATTTTGTAGAGCATATGATCTCTAATTTTTAATTCAATGCATCTATATAGTCAAGAGGATTATATCTGTCTCTCTTGATCCTTAATTTGATGTGAAGGTCAAGAGAATTATGTCCCTCTTAATCCTTGATTTGATGTTAAGGTTATATTATGAGAATTTTATCTGTTCCTTATATTATGCTTGACTATGAGGATCTTGTTTGTTCCTCATAGTCTTAATTGCTTTTTAGGCTATTATTGACATAACTGATTCACTCATAGGTGTTGATTGGTTAGTAAATGTGTGCTTATGCTATGGACAATTATACATCCTCTAGCTATTTTTAATTGTGAACAAGTGTTGAACTATAGTGAATTTTGTGTAGACCCACTTTAGGCATTATTAAGTATACTATTGCTTAGAAGATATTACAAAATTACAGAAATTTATATGATAATGATTATGATGTATACTTAGATCATATGGTCACACTCAAAACTTAATTTTTAGTAATTGTTTGGGATCTTGTTACCCTGAGATAGGCTTCTGTGCTAAATTCTAATTTCAAAATTAATTTCTTTATGTGAATGATTTCATATTGTCTTCCATTAAGAAAAAGTTTATTATAACAATATCTTAATTACTATGATAAAGCTTATTTATTATGTTAAATTTTTTTTATTATGGTAAGCTATTTGTAAAATGATTTATTTATATGAAAGTTCTTTTCTATCATGGTAACATTTTAAAAAAAAGTTTTATTATTTACTACCATGTAAGTGTTTATTAACTTTGGTTTTAATTAAAGAATGGTTAGTTTATGAAAAATTAGTTCGAGAATTTAGAGTGTTACAATCCTAAATATCATGAAGGATCTATGGTTTCAAATTGAGTTCAAGAGGCTAATCTCATCTCTGCCAAATGGGTTTGATTTGAGGAGCTTGCTCGAGACACGAAAGAGATCTCCGTCAATCTTTTTATCAAAACTTTCAGCGCCAGCAGTGGCAGTGAAGCTAGAGATGGTGGCAAAGAAGTTGAACTTTGATCACCGAGAGGAAGGATTTTAAGGTGAGGATGCAGTGAGAAACTGAGGGAAGGAAAGGAAAGCTAGCCATATTAGTGTAGATGTTTGAGGTAGCACTGGAGGTGGCGACAGTGTAATACTCCAAGTCGGCTAGTGATACACTTGAAGTAGTAGAAAGAAAAATGAACTTGAAGGGGAAAGACTATGAAAGCTTAGCGACATGAGTCGAAGAACACATGTAGGCTCTTTTTTTA